TAAAGCAGCTTTAAAAAGCATATAAAACTCCCTTCCTCATCTACGCTTTTTCACAAAGCCATTCAAAGTTCCCTAGTGCTGATCAAAAGGAGCTTTACATCATCCCACTGCCTAAATACACTGGCAGCCTCGGGGGTGGCTGTATCAGGTGTGACAATGCCCAGGTGTCTGCCTTATCTTCTGCCGGACTTTGTGTTGCTGCAGCTGGGGCAGCAGACTGGGACTGTACCAGTAGCTCAGCTGCCCCAGTTTACACTCTGGTGCCTCAGTTTCAGCTTCCAGGAAACTTGGGGCAGTTGAAGACAAGGCAGAGGTTGATCCCATTTGGGACTGGGGGGGAAAAAAGGTCTATGCCTTATGCCTCTGCAGTATGACCCACCAAAACTCCTAATTCAAAGCTCTTCAACCAACTTTTTATCTATTCCTATGCTGCAGGGTGTACCTTCAATGCTTCCCCAGCTTTGTGGATTTTGTCGTGGAATAAACCCATAAAATAAAATGGAAAAGTTTTACTGCACAGAGAGCCATGGTCATGGCACACACCACATGGTGCTAGGGGTTAAACCACTGTGACAGTGTTGGGTGCATTCAGCTTCCCCAGGAAGGCAGGTGGCTGCCATCACCCATTTCAGCTGACATGATCAGACAGCTTTTGAGCCCTCTTCCACTTAAAGAGAAAAATCAAGTCAGAGCCAAGCAAATGTTCTAATACAGTCTTGTTTGGTCATTAAAGATGCATGAGGTCCTTTCTCCCCAGCACAGAAAGACCCAACAGAGCAGTTTCCTTGCTGGTAGCTTGAGCAAAGCCTGGCCAGAGCCCCATCCCTTCTCAGGCTCATATCACTGCTCTTCCCATCAGTGCATCTCGTTTCTTTTCTGTCCTTTTTCTCACTCTCTTGCTTCCCTCTCTTACTTCTTTTAGGCTGTTCATTTTCCAGACAGCAAAGGCAGTTAAACTGTCTCCTCCCACCTCTTGCCTTTTCCAATCTCACAACAGTAGTGATGGAGAATTCCATGTGAGAAACACAGCCATTCTCCATTCTTCTCGTGGACACTCATGCAGGTTAATTTCAGTGTTGGAAAAGGCAATTTGTATTAGCAGGGCTGGTTCACTGAGAGTGGATTAGGGAGTGCTCACACGTACCGTTTCTTTGGCAGGGCTGTAAAGGCTGCAAGTCCCAGCTGGTGGGTGGTATCGAACAGCTGAAGGCTCCAGCATCTGCTAATGGCATAACTAGGTCCAGAAGAGATGTATCTACACAGTTGGAAGCATGTAAATACCTTCACCAAAAGGCAGCAAGCAAATATATATAATGTCTTTTTAGCTGCTGTTACAATTTCAGCAAGGTTTCACCCATACAGAATTTTATTGATACTCTCTTTAATACTCATCAGTCTGCTCTGGCAGGGCTAAATCCATTGAAAACCCATTAGTAAAGCAGAATTAGATGATTTTTTTCCATGCATAAGACTTGTAGAATGACTTGTAAAAACTGGATGGATGCATTAATTGGGATTTTGAAAATATTCTGTCCTGATCCTTTCTTCCTTAATAGAGAAAGTGTTCAGTATTGTCCTTTAAAGGAGTTTGGCTCATGTTAAAATATCATGAGGTTATTACCCTAAATCCCACTGAGGAAAGAAAATGCACTTTTTCCTTCCAGTTATTCACACAAAGGACATGAGAGTTAAAGAACAAACAAATCCCGTCAGAGCAAAGGACACTATTGACTGTGCTGAGCCCATTTTACTCTGAAATTATTTCATACACTGTTTGACACAGACAAGTTTCTGAACAATCCCTGGGTGTCCAATGCACAGAAAAATGTCTATTTGCTTTATGGCTCAGTTTCTTTCTCTTCTTAAGGGCAATGGACGACCCTTGTGCATCATAGCTCTTCTGGGGCAAGGTACAGCGGAGCTCATGGTACATTTTCATTTAAGTTACTTATACATTAAGGCAGCTTTTTGAGTTGGTCTTCTTCATTACACATTAAAGAGAGAAACAGAAAAGTAGCATCATTACATATTACTCAAATTCTCAGGACTAGTAGCTGGGATCTTCCCTTAATTCTGTAATAGAGCGTTTATATGTACATTTTAGTTGAATTCAAATCAGAATGAGTTTCCTAAAGAAAAGACATCACTGCATGCATGGGAAGAACTGCAGGAGGTTCATGGGCTCTCCCAGAGGGGAACAGAGAAAAGTCTGTATTTATGCAAAATACAGTGTCTAAGAGGAAACAGGGACCGGGGTGGCAAATGCTTTTTTTTTACCACAGGAAATTCTGGGTGGATTTAACAGCACACCAAAAAACTCTCTGAAAGTGTTGTAAATCACTGCACAGACTGCCCAGGGAAATGGTGAAGTCACCATCCCTGGAGGCATTTAAGAGACGTAGATAAGGCACTTTGGTTTAGTAGTGGATTTGGCAATGCTGAGTTAACTGTTGGACTTGATGATCTCGAGAGATCTTTTCCAACCTAAATGAATCTATGACTTTGTGAAAAGGAAGATCAGCAGAACTGGGTATCACAGTGGAGCTATGGGACATATTTAATGAACTGCTGTGGCCATTGCAACATACAAATAAAGGAACTGTGCATACTGCAGCCAGTCTGAACTGCAGAGGGATTTCTGCTGAAGTTGCAGTAAACACCTCCTCTGCTGCTTTAGCAGTCATGGGCCAAGTGTAAGTCACAGGCACACTGAAGAGAGGCACTGTCAGGGTGACAATCGCTTGCTGTGGAGGAGAAAAATGGTTCTGGTCTGTCCAATCAGACTGCCCAGGGACTGAGAGGAATTTTGCAGGTCCCTTCACAGCTCTGACAATGTGGTTTGTGGTGCAGTTTGGGGCAGCTTAGTGGAACTGTCTTGCAATTTGTATTTACATAGCATATTGTGAATTAGATGCATTAAATTGCTGCTACTGCTGCTACTACTACGTCAGTAACAGAGTGCTTCGGGTTATGTTGGTTTTAGTTTTGTCAATAGCTGAGACTATTTTTGGTTTGGATTTTTTTTAGGCCATATATATGCATTTATAGTCCTGCATTATTAATAGTCGCTTAAAATTTTCCACAGCTCTGGATATTTCCTTTCACAGGGAACTGCAACAGAAAAGGAATCTGGAAAATACAGCTTGCTACACCAGTTTAGTGGTAGTGGTACTTCACACTGGTGGTAATGCTTGCCACAGTAGGTTCTGCTGGTTTGTACAAGGCAGGCAGATGCTGACAGGGGCACACCTGAGTTACTGCAGTAACTTGACAAGAGATTTATCAGTGTAGCCAAGGAGGTGGCCTTGAGGATCTTTTCGTATTTTAGGTTTACTGGTTGAGTGGGACACATTCAGTCACTGTGGTTGTACTCACGTGGAGTCAGTTGATTTGGGCTGCATTGGCTTCTTGATAATGCCTCAACAAGACTGGGAGAACAACAGCAGAAATTTTTATTTCATTCACCTATTCTTGAGGTTTTCCTTTATTTATTCAAATGTGGACAACAATCATTTACCTGCAACAGCTGCCTGTTGCACTTTCATATTTCACACTTCTATTAATTCAGAATCAAATCACTGATAAGGCTTCAGAGGCATACCTGAGCCATGGACAACGACTGACCATCATTTTCACTGCACATACCTGCCAGTCATGATGGCTATGAAACCTCTGATTTATATTCAGTTATGCATTACTATGGTTAATGCATAAGATACTACTCATGAATTTATATCATCACAATTACACCATGAAAAATGCAGGCATTTTATAAAAAACAGACAGACATTTATCCTCATTAGCAAAAGAGGTTTTTAAAAAGCTGTTTTTTCCCTGCTAACACCGTCATTTAAAATCTGTGCTCTGTGCCTAGTTCTTGGAGAGAACTAACCACATTTAAGTTTGGAAGCCTTGAAATCCAAGGCAATAATGGAAATTATTTTCTGAAAATGCCACCCATTCCACTTTGGTAAACCTGTGATTCAAAAGTACTGCTGTTGTTTTGTAGCAATGAGAAATAGAGCCAAAATAGTGCACTCCTAATGAGTTTCTAGTAGAATGAGCCTTTCGCCATTTCTTGTGCAGTTACTTTTGAGATTCCAAAATGCAGAGATTTCCCTTAAGATTATTTTTTGTTCCATATTTATAATTTAAATCTGCACAGTGAGAAGTATTAATCAGCGCTCTCAGCTGGACAAATGACTAACGCTCCCATGCCAAATATAGGTACCAGAATCACTGAGGAGAAGTCAGTGCCCTCCTGATGACTGGCTTTCCATGCAGTCATGCTCTCAAAGCAGCAGGTGTCATGTTTTTCTAAGACCTGCTGCAACAAAACAAAAAAGTTTGCATGTCTTACTATATTTTCTAATAAGGCAAAAGACGCTGACTACATAAAAGTGATCTGTGAAGTAGATTTCTTTCCAGTTTAGGAATGGGTAAAGAGTTTGGTTACATGGTCAAATACAATGTCTGGTCACTCTGTTCACTACAGTCACTTGGCCCAAAGAGCCAAGTGATTACCAAGTTTCAATTCAAACCTCCTCTGAAAGTAAATGTCCATACATTTTCATTTCTGACATATACATATGACAATTTATTTTAAATTATCAACATATTTACAAGCATATGCCAATGCTATGATTCTATCAATTTTTTATGTCAAAAAGGTCATTTTAAAACTATGATTATTTTAATATTCTTAATGTTGTTTGATTTCTAAATGACACTTCTTGTAACTGCCATTATTTATGGGTAAACAAAACTGTAGGCATCAAAAAGAGGGCCTACGCCTCCAGAATCTGAACTAATTATTGCTCCATCTGGCTTTGGCAGACAGTCAGCATGGCTCACATTTGCACATGGTTTGAGCTGTCCTCTCCTAGAATGATGATTAATAGAAGAATTTTGAATAGTAATTTGTTTAAACTATAGGAATTGGTCATTTTGTGCTTAATGCTGCTAACTGGTATTTGACTACTGTCCTTCATTTATTCCAGATAATTGATAAGAGCAAGAGAGACCCCTCTGAAGAAATTGAGATACTTTTGCGGTATGGACAGCATCCAAATATCATTACTCTTAAAGATGTGAGTAGTCTTTGAGCACTTCAGCATTAAATGATTTTCACCTCATAGTTAGGCTCATTTATTGGTCCATGTCTGAAAAATTCTTCAGTTGAAAGTCCGAGGTAAAACCAGACCCATTGAAATCAAGGTGAAAAACATGACTTAACAAATTACTGGAAAGTGTTTGGAAAGACTGGTCAGGTTATTCATTCTATTCATATAGATTCATTCTATTCATATATACACACAGTGGTGCTACTGGATAGGGGGATGATGTTTCTTGAGCAGTAGCCATTCCCGTGCAGCCTGTGATACCTGCTTTGCTGGGAAGAGGAGAACTCACAGAGTCACTAGGATTTCCCCCAGTAATGTTTTAATGCCAGGGACTTTTTGCCTTCTATTCCAACAGCCTGAGATGTCATTAAAATATTTTTCTTCAGCATTTCATATGAAAAATAATCCTTCACTATGCTTAAATGAAGTAATGGCCTTTAGTCAGAGGTGTTTTACTTTAGCTGCCTGAAGTCTCACCTAAGATTTTCCACACCATGCTAGATTCAGAGTCTACAGAACAAAACCCTGCCTGTGTCAGTGGCCAGTACATGATGGTTTAGACCTCCAAGAAGTATATAAGAATCTCCTAATCACATGCCCTCAGGAAAGTCTCACCTAATTCCTAAGTGTTAAAGAGTATCTCAACTTCTATGCAAAAAAAGTTTTTATATTCCTTTCCAAAAACATGTAGCACTTATGACTATAACACTGCCTATTACTGCAGTCCAGATAAAGGATGATGACATGAAAATGTCATTAAATTGTCCTCCAGTTTAAAGGATAAAATGTCTTTTACCAACTCTCATTGACATTGAATGTAAATATATCTTGCAGCTGATACCAACAATATATTCACCAGAACTGCAAATACAAACTATATAATAACATTAGATGCAAGTGTTGGCCAACAGTGTAATACAACTCCTTAGTTGATCATGAGTCAAAGGGAAATATTGATATTTGGAATGGCAAATGTTACCCTGTGGAAGTGGAAAGAGAGAACACTACTGAGAAGAATGCTTGGGTGAGAGCCAGCAGACATTTGAAGCTGTGTGGAGTGGTGCTGTTTTTAACAGCTGAGCCTGCTCTGTTGGCATGATAGAAAACCAGAAAGCTACATTTCTGTGTGGA